TTTTTCTTTTTTGTGAAAAGATGAAATGGGACATTTCAGAAGCAGCCATCCTTGACAGGTTTTACAGAATTAAACTGGGGTGCTAAAAATATTAGTTGAATCAATCTGGGCAGTTTAGAGTGCCAAGTGGCACTCATTCTAATTTCATGCATATTTGGGCAAATCCAGAGATGGAAGGCCCTGTCTGGGGAGGAGATGTGTGTGTGAGAGAGAGAGAGAGGGAGGGGGAGAGGGAGAAAGAGAGATGGGAGAGGGCAACATAGAAATTGAGATAGAAGAGTGTCAAAAAACAGAGAGAGGAAAGGGAGAAAGGAGAGACGTGATTGAAAGCAAGCAAAGAAGAAAAAATCAGAGAAAGAGGAGATTGATTGATTGATTGATTGATTGGTTGGTTGGTTGGTTGGTTGGTTGGTTGCTGTCAAGCCAGTGTTGACTTCCATAACCATGTAGTCAGATGTTCTCCATGTTGATCTGAGCCTAACCTGGTCTTATAATGGTGAAAGAGAAGGAGAGAGAAGGAATTAGATGCCAGCAGCAGAAAAAGGGGGCATCTCCTCACTTGGTCCTAGTCCTTCTATAAAAGGATGGTTCTTGATCCCACTCCTCTTGTGACCAGCTATACCATAGTCAACTCATTCCAGTGGGGTTGGGTTTAGTCCCAGAAAATTCCAAGCTTGCCCACCATGTTCACCATGTTCCCCCACCCCCAACCAGCCATGTTGTGAAACTCCCAAACCTTCTCAACTGTCCCATTTTATCGATCCGGTATGCCATGAAAAAGATCTGAAGAGACACACAGCTAGAAGGGCAATTAGAGGACTCATTGCCCATGCTTTAGTCCCAGCACAGATCTCGGACGTGGATTGCAAAAGTTTTCCCTCTGCTCAGCCAGTGGAGAAAGAGTGAGGGGTGTCCTGAAGCCTTGTTGATGTTCTCCTCTTGTAAGGTCTCATGGACACCACTTGGAGAAAGAAGGGAGGGCTTGTTCCTCAAGGGATTCTCCTCACCCAGTCGGTGAGCTCATGGGTAGCTAGACCCACCAGTAGGGTGACTTCACTGGGATACCACTGTTTGGGTGTTGCGATAAGAAGTGTAACCTTTCTGGTTTCTCTCCTTCTGACCGAAGCAGTCCGAAAATGTGGACACACTTGGCGACAGCAAGAAACAACGTTTAGAAGAGTCGTCGGCTTCCTGCTTACTTCCACCCTGCATTTCACCGATTCCCAACCATAGGATACCTGGCATAAAAGAGTATGTGTTTTTCCCTACGTTTTCTCAGTAGAGCTAACAAAATCCGTCCAGGATTTCTCAGTTTCAGAAATTCCATGCCATTGATACGCCTCAGTTTTATTTTTATCCCTTTATTTTCCATATTTTGTTCATCTAAGAAATAATTGTGACTCCTGGTTTACTGCAGTCAACCTACAGGAAGGACTGGCTTCACCCTCCTCCTCCTCCTCCTCTGCCTTTATCTCTGTTGGGTCTTTAAACTTTAATTTGAAGGATTTATCTCTGGCTGATTTTTTTTTTTTCCCAACCAAATGAAGCCACCTCTCTCATCATATTGTCGCACAGCGGTGAAATTTATGTTGAGTAAGTAATCCCACAATTAACTTAAAACTCATGGCTTTTAAAGCATTGTGAAATAAAACCAGCCCATTCCTAATCTCTCTTATACCTGTGTAATTACTTACTCCACTTAATGCAAATGAATTTATCCTAATTTGCCTTCTTAAACACACACGCACACACAAACACATACACACACATACACAAACATAAAGAGAGATGTCTTTCAAGTCTGTAAAATGGCACAGATAACTTAAGCATGGAATCCATTTAAGGATGATGCAAATGTAATTTTTCAAGCTATGTGTGTTTATCTTTCTCCAGCTGCTTGCATCATCTTTTTTTTTAAAAAAAATATATCTTATATTTCCTGCCTTTACCAAACCCCACAGAGTTAGCCCCCATTCTGGTGTGCCTTAATTTCAGCTTGTTTTCTAGGTCATTAATTTGATTCCTTTGAGCCCTGCAACTATCGGTATCCTCTGTTATAATATAATTGTGTTCATCAATAGTTATTTCCCCTATGCTAGGCCTACATTTCCCCTGGTCCCAGATGTTTCCATTTGCCAAGCAATTCTTCCCCCCCCCCCCAATTTTCTTATTAGTTATATTTAATGGAGACTTCAGGTCGTGGTAAGAGGGACGCGGTGGCTTAATGGCTAAGACTCTGAGCTTGTCGATCAGAAAGGTCAGCAGTTCAGTGGTTCGAATCCCTAGCACCACATAACAGAGTGAGCGCCCATTATGTGTCCCAGCTTCTGCCAACCTAGCAGTTCGAAAGCATGTAAAAATGCAAGTAGAAAAATAAGAGACCATCTTTGATGGGAAGGGAACAGAGCTCCGTGCGCCTTCGGCTTTGAGTCATGCCGGCCACATGACCACGGAGACGTCTTCGGACAGCGCTGGCTCTTTGGCTTTGAAACGGAGATGAGCACCGCCCCCTAGAGTTGGNTGAAGTCCGGACATCTTCAAGTTGCCAAGGTTGAAAAACACTGTCCTACAGAACCTGTTCTCTCCAGATGGGAAGACTAGGACTAGTGGGATAAAATCCCTAAGGCTGTAGGTACAGATTAGACATTAGGAAGAGCTTCTTAATAGCAAGAGTTGACCATCATGGAATAGCTTACAACATGGAGTGGTTTCTTCTCCTCGACTGGAGGTGTTAAAATGAAAATCAAAAATCTTCTATCAGCTGGTTAGTGAATCCTGCAGTGGACAGGGAGTTGAACGATGACTTCTTAGATCCCTTCCAAACTCTGAATCTGTGATAATCCAGATTCCTAGACTGGAGGAGATGCGTTCCAGAAGAGCAAGAGACAGCTCTGGTAGTTTGCGGGAGAGAAAGAGAACGAAGACAGACCCTCCTTAATAGTTCCTAGAGTACATGCTTTATGCGGATGGTCCCTTGCTTTAGTTTGGCAAGATTCCCTCTGTAGGTGAGGACAGCCATGAAATTTGCTTGGATAGCAATCGCAAAGTGTCTTTCTTGCTTTATAAAACCTGGCAGAATCTATAATTCAACATCATACAAGATGAATCATCAGAATAATCTTTATAGATGCTTAAATATGTTTTTTTTTTCTCCTTCCTTTCTTTGTAGTGGCCTTCCATTGCCAACAGCACACAACACTGTCCTCATACATTCCAGCGGCGGATCCGGAAGCTCCAGTGAATCTGAAAGTAGTTCGGAATCCGATTCAGACAGTGAAACCAGCTCCAGCGACAGTGAATGCAATGAAGAATCGCGCAGCGGAACTCCGGAGGTAAAATACCACGGGGTCCATCTCCAGAATTCACGCCTCCACGTAACAATTGGGTTTGCAGCAGGGGTGGGGTTCAAAAAATTCAGCAACAGGTTCTCTGCCCGGTTGCTGGGTGGGTGTGGCCATGGTGGGCGTGGCCTAGTTGGCCTCCTGCACCATGGCAGGGGGGTAGGAGGCTTTTTCACCTTCCCCAGGCTCCAGAGTCTTTTCTTGAGCCTCCGGGAGGGTGAAAACTGCCTCTCCCGGGCTCCGGAGACCCTCTGGAGGCCAGAAATGGTCCTGTTTCTGGCCTTCTGGAACTTCCAGGAGGCCCCTTTCCCCCCCCCCCCTCCCTGATCCTCCACGTGGGCCCTGTACCTCGCATTCGAAATGGGCCGCAAGAAGACTCCTGGGAGGGGCAGGGTGAAGTGGGAGGAGTGGGGCAGGTGGGTGGGGCAAGCCAGTGGTAGGATTTGGAGGTTCTCCAAACCAGCCATAACGTTAAGCTACAGGTTCTCCCGTACCCAGACGTTTCCCGAATAGCTGGGGTAGAGCTGTTCACACCCCGACATCCACACACTTATTTGTTTAACTACACGAATGTAGGTTTGGGGGAAGCTGAGATAGCAATAGCAATAGCAGTTAGACTTCTATACCGCTTCATAGGGCTTTCAGCCCTCTCTAAGTGGTTTACAGAGTCAGCATATTGCCCCCAACANGAACTGCAGAACTGCAGTCAGCTGAAGTGGCCTGCAGTACAGCACTTTAACCACTGCGCCACCTCGGCTCCAGAGGTGGCTTTGTGTAGCCAAAGCCTATGCAAGCCACCCAACAGAAGCGGCGCAAAACAGATATCAGGGACTAAAATCACATCTCGCGTTAAGCTCTGATTGGTTTCTACCATAATTTCTGGCAGAAGTTGAATAGTTTCTGGCCTAATATGTTAAAACTAAAAAAAAGAAAAAAACAATGTTAATAAGGTGTCTCCCTTTTATTCACATGTATTTGCTTCCTCGTACTAAAAATTCTAATTTGGTCAACATTGTTTTGGAGATCTGGGGGGGGGCATCTTAAGTTTTTGGGGCGTCTTCTGCCTGTTTCAGGATGTTCTCCACACCAAGCAAAGCTGCAGCGGCTGCCCTTGGTATATGAATTCAGGTAGTCCTTGACTTACAACAGTTCATCTAGTGGCCGTTCAAAATGACAATGGTACCGAAGAAAGTGACTTAAAAACCATTTTTCACACTTACGACCATTGCAGCATGCCCATGTCACGGGATCCAAATCCATGTGCTTGGCAACTGACTCAGGTTTATGGTGCTTGCAAGGCCCCAGAGCCACAGGCTTCCTCAGTCCTTCTGGCAAGCAAAGTCATTGGGGAAGCCAGAATCATTTAACAACTATCATACTAACTTAACCGCTACCATGATTCACTTAGCAACCGTGGCCAAGAAAGTGGATCAAAAGTCGTTGAACAAACGTCCTGCTTAGCCACAGAAACGTGGGGCTCCCTTGAGGTCGTAAGTCGAGGCCTATCTGTATCCAGATTGGGAAGGAAGGGGCACCCAGAGAGCTACAAAACAGCAATGCGCACAAGGGTTGAGATTTCTAGTGGAAATGAAACATGGCGCTCTTCACCAACCTTGGAAGCCAACCGGAGCTTCCTTTCAAATCCCTTCTGTTTTTCAGCTGGAAAAATTTGGCAAAGCAGTGAATTATGCCGACGCGGCGATCTCCTTCATTGAATGCGGGAATGCTATGGAGCGTGATCCATTGGAGGCGAAATCTCCGTACACCATGTACTCGGAGACGGTGGAACTTATCAGGTGAATGCCTTTTCTGTGACTCTACGTACAATTAGAAGGATGATTAGGGGACTGGAGGCTAAAACATTTGAAGGAACTGGGCATGGCTGGTCTAGTGAAGGGAAGGACCAGGGGAGACAGGATGGCAGTATTACTCTATAAAACCTTAGTAAGATCACAGCTAGAATCCTGCATCCAGTTTTGGACACCACACTATAAAAAAGATGTTGAGACTCTTAAAAAATTGTGCAGAGAAGAGCAACCAGGATGATGAGGGAAATGGAGGCTAAAAGATACGATGAACGGTTGCAGGAACTGGGCTGGTCTAGTGAAGAGAAGGACGAGGGGAGACAGGATAGCAGCATTCCAATATTTGAGGGGCTGCCCCAGAGAGGAAGGGGGTCAGGCTATTCTCCAAAGCACCTGAAGGCCAGACAAGGAATAATGGATGGAAATGGATCCAAGGAGAGATTCAACCTAGAAATAGGGAGACATTTTCTGACAGTGAGAGCAATCAACCCATGGAACAGACGTTGCCTTCGGAAGTTGTGGGAGCTTCATGACTGGAAGCTTTCAAGAAGAGACTGGAAGGCCATCGGTCAGAAGTGGTGTAGGGTCTCCTGCTTGGGAGGGGGGGTTGGACTAGATGACCTCCAAGGTCCCCTCCAACTCTGTTCATCTGTATCGGTATCTTTTTGGGTCAATGTCTATGGAGGCTCTGAGGCATCCAGGTCCAAAGGATAATTGATGGAAACTGATGAAGGAGAGATTAAGCCTAGAATTAAGGAGGAACTTTCCGACAGTGAGAGCAATCAACCAATGGAACAGGAGTTGTCCTCAGAAGTGGTGGGGGCTTCATCACTTGAGATTTCCAAGAAGAGATTGGACTGCCATTTGTCAGAAATGGTGTAGGGTCTCCTGCTTGAACGGGAGTGGTGGTGGACTAGATGAACTACAAGGTCCCTTCCAATTCTGTTAATCTGCTAAATCTGTTAAAGTTGCTTCGTGTCTTTTTAAGGATCATTCTGAGCTTGTTAATGGTTAATCCAAGGGCTCGTCAACTCAGAAGATATCATAATTAGTCCTTTCTTCCATTTTACAAACGCCACGGAAAATTTATAATTGACGGACCCTGTTCTTATAAATTAGCCCTGTTAGGGGATAATAAGGGTGTAGTATTATTTGCAGTACTGGTATAATTAAAATTGAAATGCAGTGGATGGCAGTTAAAGCATCATAATTTCAGTGTTGGGCTGTCACATTTATCTCGGAAAGAGTTAGTTTGATCGTTCCAAATATTAAAGAGAGACCGTTGAGGTCTCGGTTATAAATCCTGCCTTTTTAGAGTTTATCAATTAGCCGTAAAATAATTGTCCCAGAATGAATTTTGGCAGATAAGGGCTTCAGCTTACAAACATTTGTTTAGATATGACCAGAAAGAAAGAGAGAAGAGCAGAAATGCCTTCGGTTTATAGTCAATAAGAGTGTTTTTATTGTTGTGGTCCACCAGTGGCCAGCAGAGCTGGCAGCAGATTCGGACACTGAGGAGGTTGGGGAGGAACCTGGGCCAGTCCTGGAGTCTGGGGAAGGCTCTGAGGAGGCTCTGTGTCGGAGGCAGAGAGGGGGCCAGANGACCACGGAGACGTCTTCGGACAGCGCTGGCTCTTTGGCTTTGAAACGGAGATGAGCACCGCCCCCTAGAGTTGGGAACGACTAGCACATATGTGTGAGGGGAACCTTTACCTTTACCAAATATCATGCGGAGATTTGTTCTGAATATCCTCCAAGTTCGTATTTAACCCAATCATTTGCTACTTTTTGACTATCGTGTATCATCATATTACTCTTGTTCTAAGGGTCTCAACACTTACAGAAGGATCCGTAGGAAGTCATCTCAATGGCTTAGCACTCATGGTCAAGGTTCCTCAGGAAGACCAGTTTGGCCATTGTGGCCTAGAACCGAGTCTCAGGACTTTAGCCTACTTTTAATCCATGTTTTGCATCTTTGTGGCCGGTTGTGCTTATCCCACCATTCATACAACCTTCCCTTTGCTGGCTAGTTAATATAGTGGTCTTGAGTGCATATTCTGAAGCAGGCTTCCTCACTCAACTCCAGCAACTTTCATTGGGGGGACTTCAAATCCCAGAATCCATGCTGGCTGGGGAATTCTGGGACTTGAAGTCCACACATCTGAATTTGGCTAAGGTTAAGGAAGTCAATTTTTTGTGGACTTCAGCTCCCAGAATTCCTGCCGGCTGGAGAATTCTGGGAGTTGAAGTTCACACATCTAAAAGCCTCTGAGGTTGAGGAACCTCAACTGTCCTTTTTTTCATAAACTGAAAGTCCATTTTTATGGACTTCAACTCCAAGAATCCATGCTGGGTGGGAAATTATGGAAGTTGAAGTCCATAAAAATTGCTGAGGTTGAGAAACACTGTTCTAAGACCTGGATTGTCAGGAATGATAAGAACATTCCAGTTGCGACAGCAATTGTTTTTTTTTTAAATAAACTTGCTGACGGCCACAATTAAATAATAAATGAAATGGACGCTGCTTTCATTAGAGATGGAGGAGCCTTGTTGGATACAGCCAGGTGAGGTGATCGGATTTCCCTCAATTGAGAAGCCAAGTTGCTTTCCTTTCGCTTCCTTCTCTCTGATGTTTTCCTTTGAGGTATTGTAAATCTATAAAAACTTGACACTGACTTAAATTGACTAAGAGGGAGGCATCCATTCTTGTTGACTTAATTTGCTATTGAAAATTTGAGTCGATAATCATGAAAAGTAAATGGCAGGAGAATGCAATATGAGTTGACTAAGGGAGGATTAAAATCCAAGTAATCTTCATTGACTGGACTAGGACAGTAACTAAAATAATAATATTTTTTTAAAAGAAAAAATCCATGGTTGGATTAACATTTTAAAGAGTCCGCTTTCTCTGTCTGGCTTGACTTTTATTTTCTTTCTTTTTTTCCTTCCTTCTTTTTAAATCCACATCCAAGGTTTAAAAGGGTGGGGTTATTATTATTTTTCCTGTCCTGAGAAAGGAGCTACAGGAGGTACTTGATTTATGACCACAAATTCTTCGTTGCTAAGTGAGAGAGCCGCTAAGTGAATTTTCCCCCATTTTTTGCCACAATTCTTAAGTGCGTCACTGCAGCTGCTCGGTTGGTAACACGGTCGTTAAATGAATCTGGCTTCCTCCCTGACTTTGCTTGCCCAAAGGTCACAAAAGGGGATCGCGTGTCCTTGGGACACTGCAGCCGTCATAAATACGAGTCAGTTGCCAACAAATTTTGATCCCGTGACCGGGAGGATGCGACGACAGTCGTAAGTGTGAAAACTGGTCCCTTCTTTTCAGTGCCGTGGTAATTTTGAACTGTCACTAAATGAACTGCTGTAATTCGAGGACTGCATGCCCGTCAACTTGCCTAGTTCCATCCCGATCCTGGCCAACAGCATCCTAAGAAACAGAAGTTGGGAAGGTCCTGTTGATTTGATCTGACCCTGGATTTTCATCACGTGACCCTTGTAGGGTTGGGGGAGGAGTCATAAATGTGGGAAACGGTCACAAGTCCCTTTCCTCAGTTTGAAATGGCCACTAAGAGGAACGGTGGTGAGTTGAGGGCTGCCTGTACATGTTTGCTAAACCTCTTGGCTTCGGTTTCTTCCTTGACAGAAGCAACTCCATGAAAAAGGTGACCAAAAAGAGAGAAGAAAAACTCTTCCCACCCCCTTTGTCTCCTCTGATGGACGAGGCAGCCCCCCGGCATAACCTCATGGAGAGCAGCTCTTTCAGCCAAGAGAACCCCCTCCCTGGCTCCTTGCAGGCCAACCTCTGCTCCAAACACAGGAAGAATGAGAACAAATCCTCCTCCCTCAACTCCAAGGGCCTCAGTGTAAGTGTTGAAGTGACTTTCCCCACTTCCTTACAGTTCCCATCCTGACAACTGAACCATTGATGCGGGAAGGGTGGACAACACTCTGAAGTTAAGGGAATCCTAGATTCCCAAAGGCACTGAGGAAATCTACAATATTTGGTGGTGTGGGAAGATGTGGTGGCCCAACAGCAGCCAGGGGAGCTGGCAGCAGAGTCGGACAGTGAGGAGGGTTGGGGAGGAACCTGGGCCAGTCCTGGAGTCTGGGGAAGGCTCAGATGAGGGCTCTGTGTCGGAGGCAGATGGGGGGGCCAGAGCCATGTGCCAGTTATCAGCTGCCTTCAGAGTCAAACATCAGTGGGGCAGGCGAACAGCTGGAGCCTGTTCCCAGTTTGCGCATGGACAGAGTTGCCTGTTCTTTAGCTGTTAGGGAACAGCTAAAAAACAGGAGTCGACTTGGGAGTAAAGCCACAGGTGGACAGTGAATGGCCCCTCCTTTAGGGAATAAAAGAGGAGCGAAAGGGGAGTGGAGTTTGCAGGAGACAGGTAGCTCATTCCTGCATCCTTGCCAAGTATTCCGGCATCTGAAATATATTAGCCTGGCCCCTCTCCAAGCCTGATAAACTATCTTGAAAGGCCTTGGGAGAGGAAAGACTTTGCTGGCAAGGAATTCACTGTCAATTAAATAAAAGGGGTTTATCGGGACGGGGACTCGGCTTCGTGCTGCTGGGGAAACCTCGGTCAGAACAAAAGATTTGTCTGCTGTCCAAAACAAGTGGGTTAATCAATTAGTCCCCTAGATCAGAGGGGATTCAGAGCCCCTAAATTAGTCAAAGGCTTTCACAACCAATACCATGATAAAGGGGGGAGGACCAAGACCCTTACCCCGCTAGCCACCCATCGCCCTACTTGAAATTTTCCACACCAACTTCTGCTGACCTCGGTCATGCAAAATTCAAGGGAAGCCGCCCAGCCCTGATCTTTAATCTGTGCTTCAACTCCTCTGATTGTAAAAGCGCGGGGGGGGGGGGGGGGACTCAAGACTTATCTTTTCCAGGGAAAAGCCGCCTTGCTCTAATCGTTGTGAATTTTCGGCCCTGCTGTTTGCCTCCCAACATTTTCATTTTAATAAGCCAGCGGTGC